TATATTATATTGCTATGTTGCTGCAATATTATATTGCAATATTTCTGTAGGCGGACATTTTATTGTTGCTGCAATACCATAACAACATTGCAGCAATATTTTGCAATGTTTCTGCAATGTTGCAATCTTGCAGAAAAATGTTGCTGCAATGTTGTTACAATCTTGCGGTGCTGTATGGGCAGCAAATCCGACTTCACACTACATAAAATCAATTTACTTTTCATCTGCGAAATGATAAAATTTTTTATTAAAAGGGATTATTTTTACCTATGCATTGACTATGGTAAATTCCAATTCAATTGCATTAAAACAGGTTTAATTATAACTTTATGAAATCGTATAATTTCGGATTGAGGTGGAGATATATCACCCAACATTAAGGGCCGTGGCACATAAAAAAACTTTGCGAGTCGCGCTACTATATCGCGGATTGTGCTTACTTGCTTGGGTTTTGGGATTGGCTCTAGCGAATACTCGCTATACGGCCATAAACTGGTTTAAAGATATAATAATGTCGTATATATGTAGGTTTTTCTTTGGGGAAGGAAGGAATTTGTGTTAGGGAGGTGGTAGGAAAGGAAAAATAGGAAAGCGCAAGCCAGGGTCGGAGTCGGGAATCGAACCCGAGTTCTCTGGGATGTGAGTCAGGCGCGCTACTCCCTGAGCCACGGATTGTGCTTAATGTGACGACCTACGACAGCCACAATACCCATTCGATTATTTGTGTTTATTTGAATTGACAACAATATGGATTAGAATGTAATGATTTCAGATTGGAAATAATCCACGAAAGCGATATTAAAACCAATTATAGTTCGTTCGGAATTAAAATCGATAACTTTTTAGTCCGGGCGCGGATTGAACCGATTAAAACCGATTAAACCCGATTAAAACGGATTATGTTTTAATCGGTTTTAATCGACCATTTTCGGCAGGGTACGTTTACACGTTACCCCTAATCGGGTTTAATAACATCCGTAGTTCGAAGGCTGGCCAATCATATAGTTAATAAAAACTAATGCATCTAAATAGAATAGTAGTTTTCATTTACTATACTCAACGGTATACAATTATTTTATGAATACATAATATTTTAGTTGATATTTATGATACATCATATATATACATAATAATATAAAAGTATATTATGAGAATAATTGAGGATTCATTAGGGTCTGGGCAATACAATTTCGTTTTTGGATACCTTCTTCTTTACCTTGAATATCAATATCATCATGATTTGATTGACATTATGGAACATTTACAATAATTGGTATATCTATCATATCATCATGCAGCAAACAGATATTATGCATAATACAACAAGCCACTATATATTTGGGTATTATCAAATCTGTTCTAGTCATTGGCAAATTATCAAGAATACTTCTAAATCGTCCTTTTAAAAGTCCCAATGATCTTTCTACAATCATACGTGCAGAAGAATGTATTTTATTATAGTTTATTTCAGTCTCTGATAAGTGCCCATTATCTCGAAATGGGACCATAATATATTTCTGAATAACATATGCAGAATCTCCCAATAGGTGACTATTTTCTGGAAAATTTATTTGTGTGCACATGTTTTGGAAACGTGATAATCGGAAGACCCTCATATCATGTATAGAACCAACTTGTCCAGTATAGCAATGCAGAAATTTAAGATTAGAATCGCATATAACCTAAAACAGAATATTAGTTTATTTATTATGATACTATTACATTTTTCTAATTTTGTAATTGTATTTAAATGTATATGCGCTATATGTATTTATTCTTTTGTACCTGTAGCTGGATCGAATGATAGCCTTTCCTATTTATATAACATTCTGGATTTTTTTTTGGTACTGCTATTTTTACATGAGTGCCGTCAATTGCACCTATTACTTTTGGAAACCCATACTTGGTTTTTATAAGTGTCCATGTAGCTTTTGCTTCTTCTGGTGATGGCCATTTTATAAACATATGTAAATAAGAATACAAAGCAGAAACTACTCTTCTAACGCTTCTTCACGCTGTTGCCCTCCCAACGTCAAATCTGTCACTTACACATCTATTAAAGAAGTATAATATATCAGATTTTTATAGACATGGTAATTTATATGTTAAAAAAACAATAACAACTGGTAAAAAATAGTATACATATTTAACATTTGATATATAAATATGATATTACATATCTGATATATATTTTTCTATTTGGAATTATGAAATACTTACCTATATGAATTAGGTGTTGCCATCATCCAAATACTTAACAATAATTGTTTTTCAGGCGTTATTTGGTGACGACCAAATTTATCTGATTTTGTTAGATGTGGAGTTAATAATTCTAACAAGAATATAAAAGTACTGCGTTTCATCCTATGCATAGTAAATAACGACTCTTATAAATTTTTAATCTTTCATATTTTATTATGTTTTATGTTTAACAACTTACCTAAAATGAGTTTTAAACTCCATATCCGAATATGAAGATACGATATTTTCAACATAATTTTTGCATCGTATTCTCGGTACTCGAGTTCGCCGGTTTAATTCTTTCAATATTTCTGTATCTAACTCGTCTTCACTAGAATCACTCGAGTCATCTATATTTTCTATTAGTGTATGCGTAATTAATGCAATTATATTTTTATTCATTTCATTCATTTTTTATAAAACTATAAGCAAAACAATAGATAGGTTATTACAACACTGGATGCAAGATGCGAGCTGCTGAAAGCGTACTGCGAGTGCGTTCCGTTTTACAAGTTCTCAACAGCTTCAAAGTACACGAAATTAAAACGGAACGCTATTCGCAGTACGCTTACATGACGTCACAACTACAGTACTCGCAGTGCATAACGGAACGCACCCTATTATGTCTATAGGCTATCACACACAAATTGGCATAGCTGCATATGCATAGCATAAGACCGTCTGGACCAATGAGCATGCTATGCAAATCAATATGGCGATTTTATTTCGATGCTCATTGGTCCAGACGGTCTTATGCTATGCATATGCAGCTATGCCAATTTGTGTGTGATAGGCTTTAGACATAATAGGGTGCGTTCCGTTATGCACTGCGAGTACTGTAGTTGTGACGTCATGTAAGCGTACTGCGAATAGCGTTCCGTTTTAATTTCGTGTACTTTGAAGCTGTTGAGAACTTGTAAAACGGAACGCACTCGCAGTACGCTTTCAGCAGCTCGCATCTCGCATCCAGTGTTGTAATAACCTACCTATTGTTTTGCTTATAGTTTTATAAAAAATGAATGAAATGAATAAAAATATAATTGCATTAATTACGCATACACTAATAGAAAATATAGATGACTCGAGTGATTCTAGTAAAGACGAGTTAGATACAGAAATATTGAAAGAATTAAACCGGCGAACTCGAGTACCGAGAATACGATGCAAAAATTATGTTGAAAATATTGTATCTTCATATTCGGATATGGAGTTTAAAACTCATTTTAGGTAAGTTGTTAAACATAAAACATAATAAAATATGAAAGATTAAAAATTTATAAGAGTCGTTATTTACTATGCATAGGATGAAACGCAGTACTTTTATATTCTTGTTAGAATTATTAACTCCACATCTAACAAAATCAGATAAATTTGGTCGTCACCAAATAACGCCTGAAAAACAATTATTGTTAAGTATTTGGATGATGGCAACACCTAATTCATATAGGTAAGTATTTCATAATTCCAAATAGAAAAATATATATCAGATATGTAATATCATATTTATATATCAAATGTTAAATATGTATACTATTTTTTACCAGTTGTTATTGTTTTTTTAACATATAAATTACCATGTATCTATAAAAATCTGATCTTTTTTATTGTTGTCGCTTTTCCGCGATCTTGATTGGTTGTCTTGTTCATGCGCTTGCTTCACTCGTGTGACTTGCTTCATTCGTGTCGTTTGACAGTTTGTCATTTGACAGTTAGTTGACAGTGTTGACAGTTAAAAAAATAAATATTAAATATAGTTAAATATATTTAATAAATATAGAAAGAAAGAGGAAGAAGGAAAGACAAATAAAGAAAGGTATGTATATTATATATGTATATTGTGTGTATATATGAATGTTTGAGATCGCATTAAATAACACATAATTTAAATTCATCCTTGCGATATGGGCTTCGCATTATTATCACATCATACATTCAAAGTCAAAAAACATATAAAGAAAAGCTAACTTGTTATTACTTTTATAAAATTATTATTTTCTTCCGAGGTTTTTTCGGTTTCAACGAAGCCCATGTCACAAACAAGTCGAATAACAACTCGCAAACAACTTTGTCGGTTAGCCGCGCGATAAACGGCTGCCGGCATGCG